CAATTACAGGCCTCTCTCATCTTTTTAAGTGGGAGAACTTGCACAATTGGTGACTGACTGAATACTTACTTTCCCCACTGTAGTTCTCAATAAGTGCTGGTTCTGTTGCTCAGAGACGGGTCAGAAGGTTCACAGCTCAGTCGGTTAGTGCACATGTCAAGAGCATTCCTCAGAATATAYAGAAAAAAGACTAAAACACTGGTTAAACTCAACTCAGTAGAACCTGAGCGCCCTCTGGTGGATTCTAGATATTACAGGTATTAAATTACAATGTTTCATGTGGGTTACATATTATTATAATACTGTCATTTATTACACTTATTTATTACAGTTTTATTATTTATTACTATACTCTCATTAATCACAGTATTGTAATTTTTTGTCAGTGTGGTCATTTGTTACAGGATTGTAATTGTTTATGTGATTTTCTTCTTCAGGGGATTTTAATTTGACCAACATTCAGAGGTGACGGCAAAAAGCTGCGACTGCAGATGAGAATCTAAMGTGATGAAGACCATGAGGAAGATAGAGAGACTTTGAATGTGAAACGAGACAAATCTCTCTGAAACCTGAGACGGAGTCCTCCCCTAGCTCACCTGAGCCATTTTCACCTGCAGCAGGTGGTGCTCGGTGGGCAGGGTCAGAACTGGAGACCTTCACAGGATGAACGATGCCGATCGGTTCTGTTGGATCTTTACCGATGATAAATCAGGACGTGCCTGCTCGACCGTTTTTAAAAGATTTATTTTTTGGGACTTTGGTTTGATGTTTTTTGTGCCAAAAATGAGCCAAAAGATTTCCCATGATACTCTTGGCAGAGTAGCAGCGTGAGAAGGCGCAACGCTGGAAAGTTTGGCGTCACCTTTGACCTTTTATCTTTGATTTAAATTTATTTTCGGTTTATCATAACGTGAGCCGGAGAGAACTCTGGGTAATGAGGCGGACAGACTGACATCATCAGTGATGTAGCCTTGTTGTAAAAAAAATAAAACCGAAACAACAAAGTCCTGGTTCCATGTTTCCACTTACCAGTTTGGGACTGGTTTCAGCTGTTCACACTTGAGTTCAGGAGTTTCAGTAATCTGACACCAGCTGAAGAAAGGTGATGTCATCATGCTGGGAAAACTGGTCCACCTGGTTTGTTTGTGGTGACCTGAACACAAACCGTACGTACAAAGTTTGTCCTCATGGTGGTGCTACAGAGAATCAAGAAGTTGTTCTTTTTCCTAGAGAGCAAAGAAATATACCAATCAATCAAATATTTTAATCTTTTATTTTATTTATTACAAATATAAAATGGAAACAAATAGGACATTTTCTCCGACTTGGATACCAAAAACATTTGAATGTGGTTAAAAACAGCAGAGATGTACAATTAAATACAACATAATGTTGAAATTGGGTGTGTGTTAACTGTTGATCTAAATTATTCTGGTGACTGAAGCAGGAATGGTTTCAAATATTCTGAATAACAAGACGTTCGACATTTTCTGTAGTTTTAGAAACATGTTGGAACAGGTGCAGCTTGTTACCAGAACAGAAACTTAAATAAATACTGCAGCAAGTTGTTTTCCATGAAATCCTAAAGGCACTGAGATAAACTGAAATGTAGAAGATGTGACAAGTTTTTAAACAAAAAAAAATCAAGTGTTCATTACAGAAAAAAACGGAATGTTTATAATGAATCAGATGGTGGTTTTTAAGTCTTCAGACTGACTGAATGGAGACATCCTCCTTTTCTGTTCTTGCAATAATTCAGACTTTTCTGCTCTAAAAAATTCTGGACCAAAAGTTCTCCGAACTTTGGTTAAATTTTCTCAGTCTCAGTTCTAGCAGCTGAAAACCTTTATCGCAACTTGATGCACTTTTCAAAAGTCTGGAAAACTAGACCAAGTTCTAAAAACATGACAGCATATTAAACGGATCTGAAAGTCTTGGTTAAGAAAACCAGAAGAAATCCATCAGAAACCTTGAAACTGGATCTGGGAGATGTACCATCCTGCAGCTGTCAAGTTTTCCACCACCAGGTCAGAGAGCAAAACAACCAAAGTAAAAATACAAAAATGGTTAATGGTATGAAATTAAATAACACTTTATCAAGCCCCGTATGGACTCCAAAGCACATAACAGTCATCCATCCATTCACACAGATGGTGGTAAGTTATATGTCCTGGACTGGCCTTATACTGGGGTTAGAACTAAATGAGTCCTGGACTGGCCTTATACTGGGGTTAGAACTAAATGAGTCCTGGACTGGCCTTATACTGGGGTTAGAACTAAATGAGTCCTGGACTGGCCTTATACTGGGGTTAGAACTAAATGAGTCCTGGACTGGCCTTA